AAAACGGAAGGGGGGTGGTCCCCCCCCCCCCTTTTTTTCAACTTTGGAAAATTTTTCCCCCCATAAAAGGAAACCCCCCTTTTTTTGAAACCCCCAATTCCCTTTAAAAAAAAAAAGGGTGGTTTTTTTTTTTTTCGGGCTGGGTTCCCCCGGGTTGGACCCCCAATTTTGAAGCCCAACCTTTTAAAAAATTTTTTTTTTGGGGGGGTTTTTTTCAAATTTCACACCCCCCCTTTTTCCGCAAAGGCAAAAAAAAGGGCACAAAAAGGGAACCCTTTTTTTTTGGGTTTTCCCGAAAAGTTTTTTAAAAATTTTCCGGATTCCCCCATGGGTGTTTTTAAACCCGGGGGGGGGGGGGGCAGGGGGGCGGAAATCCTTTTGTCTCCCAGCCGAAATTTTCAGGGGTATTGCAAACCCCCAAATTTTTGGCCGTTGGTTTTTTTTTTGTCGAATTAACCCTTAAAATTTTTTACATACAAAAAACGCCAAGGACGGTTTTGTTGTTTTTTAAAAAAGGGGGGGTTTTTTTTTTTTTTTCCCGAATTATGTTAAAAAACGGTTTTTTTTGTAAAATTTTTTTTTCCCTTGAACCGGCTTTTCCCAAATTTTGGTTTTTTAAAAAAAACCCGGGGTTTTTTTTTACAAGTTAAAAAAAAAAGGGCTGTTTTTTGGTTTTTTAAATTGGAAAAGGGCCCTTAGCCACCTTTTAGGGGTTAAAACAAACCCGAACCCTTTGTTCGGGGCCAAGGGGGGGGTTAACTTAAGGGAATGGGTTTCTTTTGTCTTTTTTTTTGCAAAAAAAGGTTTTTGGGAAAAAAAAAAAAAAAAAAACAATTTTTTTTTTTTTCCTTAAAAAAAGGTTTTCTTTAAAAATTTTTTAAAAAAAGAAAAAAACCTTTGGGGGCTTAAAGGGGGTTTAAACCCAAAGGGTTTTTTTTTTAGGGGGGCAATTGTTTAAAAAAACTTTTAATTTGGGGCCCATTTCCCCTTTGGTTAAAACCTTTTTTTTTTCCAAAACCCAATTTTTTCTTTTTAAAAGGTTTTCAGTTTTGAAATTTGGGGGAAAAAATTAATTTTTTAATTTTTTATGGAATTTTTTTATTAGTGGAAATAAAAAACGGGTTTTTCCCAAAAGTGGTTTTCAGGTTTTTTTTGGTAAAAAAAAATTTTTAAAAAATTTTTTTGGGCAAAAAATTTTTCTGCATTTTCCCCCAAAATTTTTTAAAATTTTTAAATTTTTTTAGGTTTTTTAATAAAAAAAATTTTAAAAAATTTTTTTAAAAAAAAATTTCCAGTTTTTTAAATTTAAAAAATTTAATTTTTTTTTTAAACCCAAAAAAAAAATTGGGGTAGGCAGAAAATTTTTTGCCCTAAATTTATGAAGAAAAAAATTGAATTTCACTTAACATTTTTTATGATATGTTTTTATAGTATGAAAATAAACAATAGTTTGTTTCAAATTGTTGGTCCGTTGTTGGGTTTATAACGCGAAAAGTAAAAATCAATAGAGGTAATCAAATACCACCCAAAAAGAAAGCTAAATTTGTGTGGAAAAAAGGATAGATACAATTTCAATGAGTCTTCACGCGAATTGTGACATGACCACTTGACAATTGTCAGGTAAAGGAACACGGTTGCCGTATTCGCAAAAAATGCCTTGTGTCAGTAAGGGGTGTTAAAGCCTTCCAGAGGGTAAGCTGGTTAATCAGGAGCTGGGTTTTTTTTTATTTTTTTGCTAAAAAAACGAAAAAAGACGCAAACATGTTAAAAAAAAAGAAAATCATTTTTTCTTGTATGGTTTCTGTCCATAAAAACTTGGCAAATAAGTAAATTTGTTCTTCTTCACTGATGTGCTCTAATGAGGTTGCACTGATGAGCATGCATGAGGCAGCATTGATGAGCACTGGTGAGCGCTGATGAGGCTGCACTGATGAGGTGTGCACAGGTGGGCACTGATAATATGCACTGATGGGCAGGCACAGATTAGGCTGCACTGATGGGCAGGCACTGATTGGCACTGACAATCAGGGCACTGAAGATCAGTGTCCTGATTATCAGTGTAAACCATGTACTGACAGTCTTGCTGTTAATCAGCTTTCCTGGTGCATCATGGCAGCATACAATGGGTTGTTGCTCTGCCTCTACAACCTGATAGGACCGGTTAACTATAAATTAAAGTCAGACTTAGCTTGCAGTATTCTCCTTTTTGTCCTCACCTGCTCAAAACTGGAGTGGCGAGGTATTCCTTACCAGTAGTCACCCTAGCCAGGTTCAGCCTCTCCTGGGTGGAAGTCCTTCCTGTACAGCCTCTAAATGCACTATATGGTTGGAGCCCCATTCTTGTGGTCTGGGGGGCATGGTTCAGCCTCTCCTGGGTGGAAGTCCTTCCTGTACTGCCTCTAAATGCACTATATGGTTGGAGACCTATTCTGGTGGTCTGGGGAGCATAGTTCAACCGCTCCTGGGTAGAAGTCCTTTTACAGTTTCTAAATGAGCTATATGGTTGAAGCCCCATTCTGGTGGCCTGGGGGGCATGGTTCAACCTCTCCTGGGTAGAAGTCCTTTTACAGTTTCTAAATGAGCTTTATGGTTGAAGCCCCATTCTGGTGGTCTGGGGGGCATGGTTCAACCTCTCCTAGGTAGAAGTCCTTCCTTTACAGTCTCTAAATGAGCTATATGGTTGGAGCCCCATTCTGGTGGTCTGGGGAGCATGGTCCAACTTCTCCTGGGTAGAAGTCCTTCCCTTACAGTTTCTAATTGCACTATATGGTTAGAGCCCCATTCTGGTGGTCTGGGGGGCATGGTTCAACCTCTCCTAGGTAGAAGTCCTTCCTTTACAGTCTCTAAATGAGCTATATGGTTGGATCCCCATTCTGGCAGTGCAGGCCTGTCAAAGAAAACTTCAAACAAGCTTTGGCATAAATGGCAGTGGTTTCCCTTTGCTTTCCATATGCTTTTCCCTTCTTTTCTCTGTCAGTACTTTCCTGCATCTGTGTGTGTTTTGGGTATTTGCCATTTCCAAGATGGCTGCAGCAATGCAAGTACACTCTTAACATGGATGGCAGGAAGTGATGCGGCCACTGTGGCCAGTTTCCTGGCTTGCCCTTTACCAAGATGATGTTGGGAGCCACAGACTGCGATCTGAGCATGCTCGGGAGCTGATATCAATAATGGCCAAGGGTGACAGTTTTAAATGGTTTGAACATGGTAGTGTTCTCTACTCATGCATGCTGGATGTTTATGTGGTCACTGTTTGCAGGTACTGTATGTTTTACACTTTGGCATTCACCTGAGCTTTTCCTATCTCCTTTTTAGTGCCAGTTCACATGTACGCAGATTGGATGCGGTTTGAAACACATCCAGTTTGCATGGCGTGAAAAAACATTGCTTCCTATGGTGCCTATTCACATATGAACTGTGCTCTGGCGGTGGAGTTTGAAAAAGTCATGTACGATTTCTTTTTTTTTTTGAGGAGCCCTGCATGCAAAAATTTTGTGTGGCCATGTATGATTTCTGAGCAGTGCATTCAGGTGCGGAGTACAGGTTATTGCCTTCTATATTCTATACGTTTCTAAACCACATATGTGTGAACAGGATAAAATCCTGACATAAACCTGTTCTGAACCTGATGTAAGCCTGACATGAACCGCTGAACAACTACTGTATCAATTAGCTGTGTAACCCAAGCTTCAGTTTGCACCGCACATGTGTGAATCAGCACTCAGTGTTTCTCTGGGATCGCTGTGTCATGTTGTTTTTCATTTCAGTCTGCTGCTTTGCTCTTTTTTTCTATGTGGAACGCTGCCTAGTCAGACCACCCATTGCTTGTAAAGTAAAGGGATTAGGTAAGTAGTGAAGATATTGAGAAAAAGAGAGCCAATACTGTCGTAATGACTATAGCCCTGTATGGACCTCAAGATGGAGAGAGACCTCTAAAGGTCAAGACAAGTTGCCATCTAAGAGCAGACATCCAGGCAATGTTGGTCAAAGTCAACATCTCACCTCCCATTCTCATTGCTCCCTGTCTACAAACATCACAGGTTACCAGCCCTAATAGTTGCTGCGCTTGTGGTGGAAAGTCACTGCCTGACAAGCTAGTAAGTCAAGTTTTCCTGGAGCAAGCGGCATACAGCCCTGCAAAGTCCTCAAGATGGAGGTAGCCCTCTAAAGGCTAGAACAGGGGACATTTAAATGCAGGCATCCCGGAAATATTGGTAAAGATCATCATCTCGCCTCTCATTATTATTGTTCCCCGTCTACAAACACCAGAGGTTACTAGCCCTAATGGTTGCTGTGTTTGTGGTGGAAAGTCATTGCCTGACAAGCTAGTATGTTAAGTCCACCTGAGACGAAGTGGAGAAAACTCTCCACAAGGTGAGAAAGTACTTCCAAAATCTCAAGAGAGATCTGGACTCATTTTCCCACATTGAAGGACTGGAGGAGTTAACCCAGGACGAATAGCAGGGGCAGAGGAAAAAGGCCTGTATAAACAGGTTGTCAAAATTGTATCCCCTGAAAGAGCCCAAGATCAATCTGCTGCTGTTGCCTCTGATGTTGGCTGCATCAATAATGCGGCTGGTAAGACATGTCACTTTGCGGTTACATTCAAGGGCACTCTAGTTTGAAAATTAGATCTAGATTTGAAGTGCTCTTATGTATGGTAGCATCTGCCTGCAGACCAGCAATAACATTTGCATTATCAGGCAGGACAATATCGAGTTGGACAGTTAATATTAAAGAAGTCCTTGAGAAACAAGGTGGTAACAGCTTTGTAAGAGCAGAAATTGGCAGGAGACTCTGTGGCGGAGGCGTCAGTAAACCTTGTTTGATGTTCTTCAAGAGCGATGTTGCTCGTGGTAAAGGCATAAAGGGCCTTATGGTGGATTCTGCCTTAAAATCAAACTGCCTCTGCCAGTAACAATGGATCTGCTCTATCATAGCCAGTTTTGCCATCCAACCCCAAGAGACTACATTTGATAGCAGAAGTTGAGTCCTTTATTAGTATAACGAGTCAAGGTTCCGCAGTTCTTACAATTGGGACTGACCCCCACTGACCACCAATGTAAGGGACATTCTTCCCACTGACCCCCAATGTAAGGGACATTCTTCCCACTGACCCCCAATGTAAGGGACATTCTTCCCACTGACCCCCAATGTAAGGGACATTCTTCCCACTGATCACCAATGTAAGGGACATTCTTCCCACTTACCCCCCAACGTAAGGGACGTTCTTCCCTCTGACCCCCAATGTAAGGGACGTTCTTCCCACTGACCCCCAATGTAAGGGACGTCTTCCCACTGACCCCCAATGTAAGGGACAGTCTTCCCACTGACCCCCAATGTAAGGGACATTCTTCCCACTGACCCCCAATGTAAGGGACATTCTTCCCACTGACCCCCAATGTAAGGGACATTCTTCCCACTGACCCCCAATGTAAGGGACATTCTTCCCAATGACCTCCAATGTAAGGGACATTCTTCCCACTGACCCCCAATGTAAGGGACGTTCTTCCCACTGACCTCCCAATGTAAGGGACATTCTTCCCACTGACCCCCAATGTAAGGGACATTCTTCCCACTGACCCCCCCCAATGTAAGGGACATTCTTCCCACTGACCCCCCAATGTAAGGGACATTCTTCCCACTGTCCCCCCAATGTAAGGGACATTCTTTCCACTGGTCACCAATGTAAGGGACATTCTTCCCACTGACCACCAATGTAAGGGACATTCTTCCCACTGACCACCAATGTAAGGGACATTCTTCCCACTGATCGCCAATGTAAGAGACATTCTTCCCACTGACCGCCAATGTAAGGGACATTCTTCCCACCGACCCCCAATGTAAGGGACATTCTTCCCACCGACCACCAATGTAAGGGACATTCTTCCCACTGACCACCAATGTAAGGGACATTCTTCCCACTGATCACCAATGTAAGGGACATTCTTCCCACTTACCCCCCAACGTAAGGGACGTTCTTCCCTCTGACCCCCAATGTAAGGGACGTTCTTCCCACTGACCCCCAATGTAAGGGACGTTCTTCCCACTGACCCCCAATGTAAGGGACAGTCTTCCCACTGACCCCCAATGTAAGGGACATTCTTCCCACTGCCCCTTAATGTAAGGGACATTCTTCCCACTGATATAGTAATTATTAATTGGGGTCCCCCATGTTCAGGCTGGAATAGACGAATATGATGGAACGTGTATCAACCCCCCCCCCCCGCCATTTCCTGCCCCCCCATTATTTCCTGCCCCCACCATTTCCTGCCCCCCCCCATTTCCTGCCCCTCATTATTTCCTGCCCCCCCCCCATGGCTGATGTTTATTTAGTTGGGTTATAATCTACAACACATACACGGGTGGTTCCTGTGATTTGGACAAAGGTCTAGCTTCAAATACATTTTAACATTCGAAGTTCAGCCTTGTACGCACCTTTAGGGGTTTAAGGAACCCTTAGCCCTTTAGTGGTACAATACTTAAAGGCTTGCATGAAGTTAAAGTCCTGCCAGGTAACCTTTATTTCCTAGGTGGGATTTGCCTATGGTCCTCGAAGTTCTATCAAGGCCTCATTTCTATCCTACAGAATTGGCTACACTCTGCAATCTAACCCAAAAGACCACATTTCCGGATGCTACAACCTCTGCGAAAGGGTGCCAGGCTTCAGTCTTTGCACTCGAGGAGCCTAGCCTAACGTTCTATCTTGACCGAATAATCCTAAAATCCCCAAACCGTTTTTATCCAAAAGGTGTCTTTCTCCTTCCACTTTAACCAGGAACTTAATTTACCATCTTTCTTTGGTGAAGCGGAAGAACCATATCCCCTGGATGTTGGTCAAACTTGGATGGCTTGCAGATACTTATTCATTCAGGGAAGCTGAAATCTGTGCCTGGTCCTTAAGGCAGGGTCAGTCAGCATCAACACATACAGTCGCCTCCTATATTAAGACCATTAAAAATGCCTACTATTCACACAACCTTTCTATTCCTTAAGACTTAAGAGCACATTCTACCAGGGCAGTGCCAGATGCATGGATAGCACAATGCTAAGTATCTCTTGCAAGTCAGCAAATCTGGTCCTCCTAGAACACCTTTATTGCACTTTATTAGGTGAACCCATCTCAGCTTACGACAGTAACATTTGGAAAATGTGTTGTGCAGAAGCATACTTGCACTACTGAGCATTACAGTTTTTTTTCATGTGCCCTCCCGTATGGCAAGTTAGGTCCCATTGTATGCTACCATGATGCGCCAGGAAAACCGAAAATTGTATACTTACCTTTCCAAAATGTTCCTTTCCCTGTGCATCTTCAAGGCAACATACAGATTCCAACCAAATGGTTAGAGTTACAGAGAATGCTGAAGCTGGGTCTGTTTTTTTAATTTATAATTAACCAGTCCTATCAGGTTGTGGGGGCTGAGCCCAGGGGCGGACTGACAACTCATGGGGCCCCCGGGCAATAGGGGATCATGGGGCCCCTGTGTCCTTGCCCAAACTCAAAAAAGCCCTATGAAAAAGGCTGACCCCGGCCCTCAGGCACTGCCCAAGTTTCCAAATGGTCAGTCTGCCCCTGGCTGAGCCATAACCCATTGTATGCTGCCATGAAGGTGCACCAGGAAAGGAAAATTATGGAAAGGCAAGTGTACAATTTTCCATTTTCCTTTCCTCACACAAGACATAGCATGTGAGGAAAAGACTGTCGATAATGGACAAGTCTGTTTACGTGTGATCCGCTGTGATTGGCCCTTTACCCCAATTTGTGATCAGCTGTATCCAAAGAACACAAGAGTAACAGAGCGCACCCGATGCATGCCCTGGGGGTATGCAGGGGGAGGTGTCCTGGGAGGATGTTCATGGACTTTTGGGTATAGTGTAGTCAGTTAAAGTAGATAAAATCCTTAAGTGGATCATGTTTAGCTTGCTAAAGTGCTGTGTGTCAATAAACAATTGTGCTTTTTATTTTAGAAACTGCTGTTTCACCTTTTATTGATCCTTTTTGCATCTCAATGCTGCTTATCCCCTGCAGCCTCTTTCCAGTCACTTTCAGGTCTACATGCATGCACTCCAATCCCAGCTGCAGTTCATTGCTGTGGACTTGCTTTGGCTAGATTCACTGTATGTCAGGAACGAGCACAAATTTGAGTTTTCTCAAAACACAGAAAAACACACTGCACTGTAGCAGACCCACAGAGTGCCATTAATTCTTAATGGCACCCTATGTATCGGCAACCACACATGACTTCACGTATGCCAAGCCACATGGTGCCGCAACAACATGCAGTTTGGTGTGGCGCAATTTCAAAAAAGGGAGATTTATTTAATTGAAATAAATGAGCTGCCTTGCACACAGCATACACAGATGTGAACCAAGGCTAACTGATCGTAACAATGGTGGACAAGTGCTGCGCAATGTGTAGGCACAGCCATTTGTAGTCTTTACTGGAAGCCAGTTTCCCAGGGTGACTCATGAGAGAATTGGGAAACTGGTACAGAGGATTGTCACCACTAACAGGAGGTGCCCAAAGACCTTCATGGCAGGATCACCTTTTTTAATGAAAGCTATAGAATTAACATTGAAAAAACTATTGAAACTACATTAAAGTGACACTAAACAATGCCATTATTCTCCATAAATACATCCACTACATAATGGCCCTGTAATTTTTTCATTAAATTATTTTCTATTGTTTTTACACCTGCTTGTAGTGTCCTATGTGAGCTCCCAACCGTATCCGTTTCACCCCTCACTTTGTTTGGAATGAGCGGAGCACAGTACTCTATGTACCTTACAAATCCCATAGTTCCTTGCCCATCTCAGAAACAAGCAAGTGAAGGTGGCTACATTCCTACTTACAGTGGGATAATGGAGAATGCACGTAGCCTCTCTCTCAGGAAGTCAGATCACAGCAGCAAAAAAAAAAAAAAAAATGTGAAGATTTGGAGGAGGCTGAGATGGTACTTTTCTGAGTTAAGAATACATACTTAATTAGAATTTAGTGCCACTTCTCGCCTAAGTACGGGCGGCCGCTGTAGGCAAAGCGATTTACCTGTATGTCTCTGCTCACTTCCAGTTTTCTGCACGTGCATGTGCCCCCCCTGGCTGGCACCTGTTTTAATTGTACACCGCAGAAGCCTATCAGCAAGTCCAATGCAAAGCAGAGCTGAGAAACCTAGCAATCCATTAGTAAAAGCAGCACACTTTGCACACATTACAAACAGGCAAACATTTAACCCTTTAGTTAGTGTCAGATTGCCTGCTGTACTGTCGCAGTCCTATTATAAGTCGCTGATCACCACCATTACTAATGTTGAAAAGAAAAAAAAATCCCAGTAAACAGGGGAAACTCGAAAAATTAGAATATCGTGCAAAAGTTCATTTATTTCAGTAATGCAACTTAAAAGGTGAAACTAATATATGAGATAGACTCATTACATGCAAAGCAAGATAGTTCAAGCCGTGATTTGTCATAATTTTGATGATTATGGCTTACAGCTCATGAAAACCCCAAATCCACAATCTCAGAAAATTAGAATATTGTGAAAAGGTGTAATATTCACGGCTCAAAGTGTCCCACTCTAATCAGGTAATTAAGCCATAACACCTGCAAAGGGTTCCTGATCCTTTAAATGGTCTCTCAGTCTGGTTCAGTAGGAATCACAATCATGGGAAAGACTGCGGACCTGACAGTTGTGCAGAAAACCATCATTGACACCCTCCTATAGGAGGGAAAGCCTCAAAAGGTAATTGCAAAAGAAGTTGGATGTTCGCAAAGTGCTGTATCAAAGTACATTAATAGAAAGTTATGTGAAAGGGAAAAGTGTGGAAGAAAAAGGTGCACAAGCAGCAGGGAGGACTGCAGCCTGGAGAGGATTATCAGGAAAAGGCCATTCAAAAGTGTTGGGGACTTTCACAAGGAGTGGACTGAGGCTGGAGTCAGTGCATCAAGAGCCACCACACACAGACAGATCCTGGACATGGGCTTCAAATGTCGTATTCCTCTTGTCAAGCCGCTCCTGAACAACAAACAATGTCAGAAGCGAAAAACAGACCTGGTCTGTTGCTCAATGGTCCAAAGTCCTCTTTTCTGATGAGAGCAACTTTTGCAACTCATTTGGAAACCAAGGACCCCGAGTATGGAGGAAGAATGGAGAGGCACACACTTGGTCAATGCAGCCGTGTACCAGGAGATTTTGGAGCACTTCATGCTTCCTTCCGCAGACGAGCTTTATGGCGATGCTGACTTCATTTTCCAGCAGGACTTGGCAATTTCGCCTGACCTGAACCCCATAGAGAATCTATGGGGCATTGCCAAGAGAAAGATGAGAGACATGAGACCGAACAATGCAGAAGAGCTGAAGGCCGCTATTGAAGCATCCTGATCTTCCATAACACCTCAGCAGTGCCACAGGCTGATAGCTTCCATGCCACACTAAATTGAGACAGTAATTGCTGCAAAAGGGGTCCAAACCAAGTACTGAGTACATATGCATGCTTATACTTTTCAGAGGTCCGATATTGTTCTATGTACAATAGTTGTTTTATTGATTGCATGTAATATTCTAATTTTCTGAGATTGTGGATTTGGGGTTTTCATGAGCTGTAAGCCATAATCATCACAATTATGACAAATCACGGCTTGAACTATCTTGCTTTGCATGTAATGAGTCTCATATATTAGTTTCACATTTTAAGTTCCATTACTGAAATAAATTAACTTTTGCACGATATTCTAATTTTTCGAGTTTCACCTATATACAGGTGTACCATAGTTTGTAAGTGCTATAACTTTCATGCCAATAACCAATAACCAATAACAATACACTTATTGGGATTTTTGTTTATCAAAGACATGTAGCAGAATAAATTTGGGCCAAAAACTTATGAAGACGTTTTATTTATTTATATTTTGCATTGGATATGTTAGCAGTAAAAAAAAAGTTTGTTTCCTAAATTTTCGTTCTTTTCTTCGTTTTTATTACAAAAAATAAAAAGCTCAGTGGTGATCAAATACCACCAAAAGAGAGCTCTATTTGTGTGTGAAAAAAATGATATACACCCGTATGAAGCGCTTTTATTTAAACCATTAGTGGGCCTACTCCACCCCGAACGGCAGCTGGCATCACACCTATTTATGGCCACCAAGCTGACAATCGCGAGGGTCTGGAAGACTCCCCTCCTCAGCTTCGAAGCTGTCAAAAACCGGATGAACTTCATAATGGTTAATGAAAAATTGACAGGCAGGGGCGGACTGACAACTCATGGGGCCCCGGGCAATAGGGGATCATGGGGCCTCTGTGTCCTTGCCCAAACTCAAAAAAGCCTATGAAAAAGGTACCAGGGGTATCTCATGGGGCCCCCTACTGACCCGGGGCCCGAGTTTCCAAATGGTCAGTCCGCTCCCCGGGTGACAGGTATACTGTGGGATACCCACACTAAATTCCTGCAGACATGGCGTCCCTGGCATGATATAGCCCAACCATCGAGATTCGACCTGTCCGTTCTGTCGATATAAAATTTACTATCTGTACTGATTGTGATTTGTGCTTTCAGTGCCGCATCTGCAATACTAAATCCTCATGCTGGACTCCTTCGAGAGCCCTACATGTGGAATACTTATCTAAATTTGGAGAGGCTCCATTTTATATCTTCTCCGCTTTTTGTATGCTGATATAACGGCAATTTTTCCTTAGAGTTTATATTGTCATTGGTCTTTAATTGTTTACTCATTGTTTTCTCTTTTTTTTTTTTTTTTTAATACATGGCACTTAAGTATACAGTTTAATTCTATGTCTCGCCACCAGTACATATTCTGGAATATTCATTGAATTCCTTGTATGTCTTATTCCTGTTGGTCAATGCAATTGTTTTTGACTGATTCTTTCCTCCTATCTATTCTATAATAAAATTCTTTGTAAAAGAAAAAAATTATATACAGTAAATTGTTTGGGTACAGTGTTGCATGACTGCGCAATTACCAGTTAACTAGTTGCCGACCGCAGATAGCCGAATGACGGCTACACTGCGGCCGGCCAGTTCTGAGTGGACGTCATATGACGTCCTCCCAGAACGCGCTCTCCTGCGCGCCCCAGGGGGCGCACACCCGGCGATCTCCGTGATCGCTGTGTCCTACGGACACAGCTGATCATGTGATGTGGTAAAAGGCCAATCACAGCGGCCTTTTACCACGTGATCAGCGGTGTCCAATGACACGCTGATCAGAGGGAAATGCAAGTGCCGGTTCTCGGCTGCACTTTCCTCATGTTGTCAGATCGTGAGGAAAGTACTGCCGAGAACTGGCAGTTGTCAGAGCAGGGATCGGCACTGATGATCAGTGCCCTGATGATCGGTGCCCAGCAGTGCCACCCACAAGTTCCGCCCACCTGTGCCCAGCAGTGCGCCCACTAGCTCCACCCACCTGTGCCCAGCAGATCACCCACCTGTGCCCAGCAGTGCACCCACCTGTGCCACTCTGCAGTGTCACACACCTGTGCCCAGAAGTGCCACCTACCTGTGCCCAGCAGTGCCACCCACCTGTGCCCACCCACCTGTGCCCACCAGTGCCACCCACCTGTGCCCACCCACCAGTGCTGCCCACCAGTGCCGCCCACCAGTGCAGCCCAGCAATGCTGCCAGTCAGTACCACCAGTCAGTGCCCAGGGGTTGTGCCAGTCAGTGCCGCCAGTCAGTGCCCAGCAGTGATGCCAGTCAGTGCCGTCTATCAGTACCCATCATCAGTGTCACCTATCAGTGCCGCCTATCAGTGCTGCATATTAGTGCCGCCTATCCGTGACACCTCATTAGTGCTGCCTATCAGTGCCGCCTATCCGTGCCACCTCATTAGTACTGCCTATCAGTGCCCTTTAGTGCTGCCTATCAGTGCCCATCAGTGCCGCCTATCAGTGCCCATCAGTGCTGCCTCATCAACGCACATCAGTGAAGGAGAAAAAATACCTGTTTGAAAAATTTTATAATAGAAACAAAGAAACTTTTTTTTTTTTTTTCAAATCAAATTTTTTGCAATTTTTTTATTTATAGCGCAAAAAGTAAAGTGCCCATTGGCGATTAAATACCACCAAAAGAAAGCTCTATTTGTGAGAAAAAAATGATCAAAATTTCATATGGGTACAATGTTGCATGACCGCGCAATTGTCAATCAAAGTGCGGCAGCGCTGAAAGCTGAAAAAATTGGCCTGGTAAATAAGGGGGTATAAGTGCCTGGTAGGCAAGTGGTTAAAGTAGCACAGTGCCGATTAGCAATAAATGGCCGGCCATGAAGGGGGTCAAATCTTCTGGAGCTCAAGTAGTTAAGGGTTCTTGCACACGGTCTTTCTACACCCATGCAATGCAAATTCCAGGTATTTCCCAGGATACATAGATATGAATGGCTGTGTGAGGCTGTACTCAGGTATGTGCCATTACTCGGATAAACACTCATATAATGTGTGGGTGTATTGTAAGAACAGAACATTTCCTATGCTTGGTCTGCACCCGTATGCTATAGGTACACGCTTGGCAGCGCTAATGCTGAGTCTGATGTTGCAAGCCACTCCATCGCATTGGCTTTTGCCTGTCAGCCATGGATGTCACCACTGGGAAGAAAAAAAGGAGAGTGGTACCGAGGCTTGACGAGTGCACTGATTTCCCGAAAATTGATTTTACCGATTTTTACTTCTGCCAACATTGCATCAAAATTAACCTCAAATCTAGATGCTGCATTCATTTTCTTTTTCTTTTTAGCCTTTTTACCTAGTGCGAATAACTACTCACTGTACTGTATCTAAGGAGGTCAGCATTGTCACCTTAGAGCGAGAAGCATGTTGAGACTACAAACTTCCCCCTCTCTCTTTTCTTACACCCATAACATAGGGGAGGAGTACTGTAGTCCAGAGAGAGAGAGCTGGGAGGACTACTAACTGATCACAGTTTAAAACAGCAGGATCAAGTATTTTTAGACTTTTCGAACAGATACAACAGAGCACTTTCAATGGTTTCTTTAACAGATCACACGAGAGCAAGCAAGAGACGTTCATTGTAAGGGTTTACTTGTACTTTGATTTAACCTTCCTAGTTTGCAATGCAATTTCTATGAGCTGGTGGTGATATTTCTCAGACATGTCTTTTTTTTTTTTTGAGAATTTTCAGGGAATCCATAACTCCCAATTTTGCTAATCCCTACCTATTGAATATCTAGTATATTTATACTGTAAATGAAAAGAACTCATAAGCATAATATGTAAAACATTCTATATACAGTTGTGGCCAAAATTATTCAACCCCCAATGCTGTAAAGGGGTTTAGGGACTATAGTGTACATTTGGAATTGTATTCAGAATCAAATCCTACAAGGACGTTGTAACTACCCAAATGCAACTAAAAAGACATCAATTGTTTATGTAATACAGTAGTAAATGGTTCTTATGTGGTTTCTTCATTGCCACAATTATTCAACCCCTTAAAGACTACCACTCTGAAGAACAGAGGTTCATACAGGTGCTTTCCATCAGGTATTGAAAACACCTGTGGATGTCACCGAGCAGCAATCAAGCATAATAAGCACCAATTAGGCAGCTTTTAAAATGACTGTGATACTCAGCTCCTTCTAGACATTTACTGGTGTGGTTACAAACATGGTGAAGGCAAGAGAATGGTCCAGGAAGACAAGAGAAGAGGTGATTTCTCTTCACAGGAAGGGCAATGGCTATAAGAAGATTGCAAAGATGTTAAACATACCAAGAGACACCTTAGGAAGCATCATTCGCAAATTCAAGGCAAAGGGCACTGTTGAAACGCTACCTGGTCGTGGCAGAAAGAAGATGCTGACTTCGACTGCTGTGCGCTACCTGAAGCGTAGAGTGGAGAGAAGTCCCCGTGTGACTGCTGAGGAACTGAGAAAAGATTTGTCAGATGTGGGTACAGAAGTTTCAGCCCAGACAATAAGACGCACACTGCGTAATGAAGGCCTCCGTGCCAGAACTCCCAGGCGTACCCCCTTGCTGTCTCCAAAGAATAAGAAGAGTCGACTGCAGTATGCCAAAAGCCATGTGGACAAACCACAAAAGTTGTGGGATAGTGTTCTGTGGACTGATGAAACAAAATTAGAACTGTTTGGGCCCATGGATCAACGCTATGTTTGGAGGAGGAAGAACAAGGCCTATGATGAAAAGAACACCTTGCCTACTGTGAAGCATGGTGGAGGGTCAATCATGCTTTGGGGCTGTTTTGCTTCTGCAGGTACAGGGAAGCTTCAGCGTGTGCAAGGTACCATGAATTCTCTTCAGTACCAGGAGATATTGGATGGAAACGTGATGCAGTCCGTCACACACCTGAGGCTTGGGAGACGTTGGACCTTTCAACAGGACAATGATCCCAAGCATACCTCCAAGTCCACTAGAGCATGGTTGCAGAGGAAAGGCTGGAACATTTTGGAGTGGCCATCGCAGTCACCAGACTTAAATCCGATTGAGAACCTCTGGTGGGACTTAAAGAAAGCAGTTGCAGTGCGCAAGCCTAAGAATGTGACTGAACTGGAGGCCTTTGCCCATGAAGAATGGGCGAAGATACCCGTAGATCGCTGCAAGACACTTGTGTCAAGCTATGCTTCACGTTTAAAAAGCTGTTATAACTGTAAAAGGATGCTGTACTAAGTACTAAGATTGAATGTCACTTGGGGGTTGAATAAAACTGATAATGCTGTGAGCACAGAAAAGACATTTGTGGTTATTTCATTATAACTGTTATGTTATATTTGTCTGACCTACAAGTGCCTCTTTAATGTAAATGTAAGCAAGATGACTGAATGATCAAAAGCAATGTCCAAACTGGCCAAAACACTCAATTTCAGTGGGGGTTGAATAATTTTGGCCACAACTGTATCATTCATTATAACACCGGTGAAGAAACATAACAAAAATATATTAATCCGTTTTAGGGAATCTTTTTTTTTTTTTTTTCTTTTATGAAATACTACTGAATTATGAGGATTGAGACATTTTGTCCTTGTGTGTTCAGTGTGTATGGACAGTAGAGGGAGCTGGAACACCTATGAATATTAATTGTTAGGCATAAAGCCAGTTCAAGTGTTCCCATCATTTCATTTTATACATGTTAATGTTTACTCTTCATAATTTTATCAGTTCTATTTAATTACCTTGTTTCCATTTTTTTTATTAATCTTCATTAATCATTACTACCTTTAAAAGTTTATTTCTGATGTAGCAGCCATTATTCTTCAATACACATAGAGGCCCTTGTTTTAATGGCCAATTCTGGAAAAACTTAAAATTCTCTCTTGCAGTGTGGGACTGTACCCACTCAAAGCTCAAACGCTTAACAAGAAAAAAATAATATTATTCTTTGTGGAGATGGTTCACAAGTCACCTGAAGCCAAACACCCGAAGCTCAAAAGTTTTGGAGCTACTTTTGTAGCGAGATTGGTGTGTTTTTAGGTGTTTCTGTCTCCATAGAAATACATTGAAACGCACGATTCTTGCATATTTTCTGCTCAGTTGCAATAATTAAAAATAAATAAATGAATAATAATAAAATAAATATGACATAAACAATAATAAGCAAATAAAATAAACACAAATAATATAGCAAATAAATATATTAATGAATTAACCCCTAACCCCCTAAGTCTAACAAAAAAAACCCAAATAAATAAAACAAGTTAACCCCTAACCCTAACAAAAAATAAACAATAAATTAACTTCTAAGTCTAACCCTAAATCTAACCCTTGCCCTCGTAAAAAAAAAAAAAATGAAAATAAAAATTGTATTTATTTATTTTTATTAAATACTACAATAAAAGCCCCTAACTCTAACCCTAAACCTGACCCTTACCCTCGCAAAAATAAAAATGAAAATAAAAAGTATATTTATTTTTAATAAATAATACAATAATAATAAACCCCTAACGCGAACTGTAAACCTGACCCTTACCCTCGCAAAAAAAAAATTAACATAAAAAGTATATTTACTTTTAAAAAATAATACAATAATAATAAACCGCTAACGCTAAGTCTAAACCTGACCCTTACCCTCGCAAAAAAAAATGAACATAAAAAGTATATTTATTTTTAAAAAATAATACAATAATAATAAACCCCTAACGCTAACTGTAAACCTGACCCTTACCCTCGCAAAAAAAAATGAAAATAAAAAGTATATTTATTTTTAATAAATAATACAATAATAATAATAAACCCCTAACGCTAACTCTAAACCTGACCCTTACCCTCGCAAAAAAAAAAATGAAAATAAAAAGTATATTTATTTTTAATAAATAATACAATAATAATAAACCCCTAACGCTAACTCTAAACCTGACCCTTACACTTGCAAAAAAAAAGTATTTTTTTAAAATAATAATCAGTCAATAAAAATCCCTAACCTCTAACAAAAAATAAAAACAAAAAATATTAAATGTATTTATTTTTATTTAATAATAAACATCGAAACCCAATCCCTAACTCTACACTAACCTGTAACCCCTAACCCTAACAAAAAAAAATAAAAAACAAAATTAATAAATAATGAAAAGCTGATGAAAAACCTAAAAAAGCTAAAAATTATAGCAAAATATGATGAAACAGGTATTTTTTTTTTATCGGCTACGTAAAAAAAATGCCAACACTCAAAGTTTTT